TTATTTGAGATTACAGTAACATATAATGTATTAACAGTATAATTATGCTTTGAAATTAGAACAACCCATGAAAAGCCTTTTAACCATTGCAACAGTATGTTATTATTTTTTTAATTCAGAAATTATTTTTTACAACTTTTTCGTTCCATAGAAGGGGTAAAGCATCTGCATGTTTTCGCAAATGAAGCACGAACGGGAAATTTCTATTAGATTGACCAGTCAATAAAGGAAATACATTTGGACCTGTGTTTTCACCAACTTTACTGCAACCTTCAAAATCGTAGGCATGGAATTCTTCTAACAGAAACTTATAAGACTTTGGTAGATTACGAATAGCATGCGAACGCGAAACAGAATCTATTCCAACCATGATCACACTGAGCTTACTTTCGCCCTCATCTTCAACATCGTCTACCACTTTAACATCATTGTTCCAGACAGGATTAAAGTGTAAATAATCATAAAATTCATTATCATTCACATCTAAACAGCGCACGCGAAACACGTGACTTTTAATGAAAATTGGGGTCACAAATTTAACCTCATCTTCAAATATAACATCTTTATCTCCACCATTTCTTTTTAAGTTACTGTAAAAACATTTCACAAATCTTGTGTCTATATGATATTTTTCCATCACCGTCTCATTAAATTGTAGAAATCCTTTATCAACAAACATTAGCTGCTTTCGATTTGAACAAATAATTGATGGCTCCTTTTTCATAAAGGGTTTGAGAGACTCGTCCCATGGGTTAAGCGTCATCAATTTGCAAGGTTTCAATTCTATTTCGGATACTCTATATTTATTAAAATACACCAAGAAACACACTGTAGAAACGATCACAAAAAGTCCGAGACTCTTTTTAGTTTTCGAGATATTCTGTATTTTAATAATCGTCCCCATTTGTCTTTCAATATACTTATAGGTGATACTTTCAGGCTTTTCGGTCACTATGGGGCTATAATAACAATGTTGACATATGGTAAAGTAATACTTCAGTTAAAATGGACGTGTACTTTTGGTATAAAATGGAATTATACTTAAATCAATATAGTAACAAATACAAATTAATTTGGCACTAAATGACCACTGAGGAAAAGTTATTAGGAACATGAATATACGTACATTGTATGTGTGTCATGAAAACTTTACATCATTGTGGTAGACCTATTCTAATGATCTGTTCAAAACTGTACCCAACAAAAGAATGTTTGAAATCGTATCTAGCAAAGTACACATTGTTGTTTAGCTGTTTTATGTACCGTCCGGTTATCTCAATAGAAAGAGCGTTGGGCTGTGAATCGGGTGGCCAGTTGCAGGTCACTTTGGTTGTGATTCATCATGTCATCCTTTCTACGATCATTCGCACAGTACCCCTGCCCTGGCATGTTCAAAAGTTATCAGTTTCCTTGCGAAAGGGAGGGCAGCTATATAAAATAACAGGGTAACTGGTTGACAGTCTGGCAAGGAACGATGCAGTGGTTGAACTGAGCTCTATTAAATTCAGTGTGGCTTACTGGCGTCATCTGGAGTGAAAACTACTATACCAACAACAACGGAGAATGGTGATTAAGAAGTGGCAGGTACATGTTCGTACACTATTTCAGCATTTCCCGATTTTACCTCATCATGAACATTGTACATATTGTTTGATAATATATTGACCTGTGACTCATTAATTTTCTGGAGGTTATTCGTTAGTTTCTGCAATTTGTTGGATTTTAATGATAGTGACTTAGATCTCAGTATTTTAATCAATTAATACTGCTCGGAGGCCTTGTGATAAGAACGACGGAATTGTGACCACAAAGTTACAAGTTCGAATCTCGGACAAATTTTATTTTGTAGATTTCATAAACTGATGTTTTAGCTCGACGAAGTATATGGAGAGCTGTCCTACTCGCCCCGGCGTCGGCGTCCAGATTTCAGATTAAAGTTTTGGTGCAGCAAAATATTTTTCACTATAACTTTGTCATTTCTTAAGGTATCAACTTCAAACTTCAAATATATGTTCCTTATCATCAACCACATCTTATGTGACAAGGTTCATATCTCTAGCACCAATATTTTCAGATTTATCTCCCCTTGAACTTAGACTTTTCCTTAAAAAAAATACTATTTTTTACTGTTACTTCTTTATCATTCGTTCGTTCATTTATTAATTAATTAATTAATTCATTAATTCACTCATTCATTCATATGAACATCAAGATATGCTTTGTATTTTTCTTTAAATTTTAAAAACGAACGAACGAACGAATGATGCAATATACGTATATGTTAAAACAAATTGTTGAGTGTCTGTCGAAAGTATATGAGTTGTAATATTCTAAAAATTACATATTATACATTCATTTTTCTACCTATGCATGTCCTGTTGTTGTTGTTTTCTATTTCAGAAGGCCACATTGGAAATAAGATATATATGATTGTTATTGTATATTCTTAATGTGTAACCTTCTTTAAATAAAGATATTATTATTATTATTATAAGTAATATATCGTTGATGGCAACGAAGTCCTCCCAAAAGTACGTCGCTAAAGCAAGGCGAGCTTAAATAATTACTTAATTCACCAAGGACATTATGCCCTAAATCGCTCACCTAAGTCTCCTTGATTAAGTCTCGTAATATTTGTTGTGCAAATACATTCACTGTGAAACTTCTATCTTACATGTCGATATATTAACATTTTGGCCAACTTAGTGACCATTATTCTGAAACTCTTGATTGAATTAGGTTTGTTTAGGAAAGATCAAGATTTAAACGAACATTATGATGCAGTCCATATGACCTTGACCCAAGATGTCTATTATTTCAGAACAGCTTTTGATAATAAAGATAAATCTATATTTACCGTTAATGACCTTGACCGCAAAGCAACACAATGATTGCATTATTGAAAAACTCATTAAGTTGCGTCCATGTTCTCAGTTGTAGGTGTTAAATTTCAGTTTATCCCCCTTTTTTCCGATATAACCATCTACCTCTGCTAAGCACAACCGTTTTTACTAGGTGTTATCTTGTCAAAAATCATCATAACTAGCCGAGCCATGCTTATAATATTTGTAGAAGTCAAAGGTAACATTATAAATCAAATATTTAAACAATAAACCGTTTTGTTGTTTCTTCCCTTGTGAAAATAAAGACACGGATGCCCCCACTGTGCAGATGTGCACCGGTTTAAGAGGAGTTGCGTTCACAAAATTTCTATATGGTATATAGTGAAAAAATCAACAAAGGGCCATAATTCTGTTAAATTTGGTCACAGCAAAAATTCCTTCCTTTACTTCCATCTACACATTAAGGTTGTTCATCCCTGGAAGTTTAAGCAAAATCTGCCATCCGGTTTAAGAGTTGCGTTTACAAAATGTCTATATGGTATAAAGTGAAAAAATCAACAAAGGGCCATAATTCTGTTAAATTTGGTCGCAGCAAAAATTCTTCCTTTACTGCCATCTACACATTAAGGTTGTTCATCCCTGGAAGTTTAAGCAAATCTGCCATCCAGTTTAAGAGGAGTTGCGTTCACAAAATTTCTACATAGTATATAGTGAAAAAATCAACAAAGTGCAATAATTCTGTTTAATTTGGTCGCAGCGAAAATTCCTTCCTTTACTACCATCTACACATTAAGGTTGTTCATCCCTGGAAGTTTAAGCAAAATCTGCCATCCGGTTTTAGAGGAGTTGCGTTCACAAGATTTCGGGACGTACGGACAGACAGACGTACGGACGTTCCAACATTTTGGGTTTAGGGGCTATTTTCTTTGTTTTCTTAAGGGCAACTAGCCCATAAACCCTTTGATCACGGAATGAACCTATTGTTCTCTTTACTGTTACATAGCCCCTAAACCCAAAATGTTTGCTCGGACAGACGTACGGACAAGTGCAACGCTATATGCTCCCCACTTTGTGGGGGCATAAAAATGCTATTTTTGCCCTCTAACGGACAATAACTCAACAGATCAACAAGCCCAAGTATACAATATTGTACATAAGCACAGCATATAAATAACATCACATCCAAGGCCAAAAATTCTCTAAGATTCATCCAGAGAAACGTCAAAACCCAAAACAGGAAACTCAAAACATCAGCCTATGCTACTTATGTCCGACCACAACTAGAATATTGTTCCACCATATGGCACCCCTGGCAGAAACATCTAAGTCATAAGATTGAAAGTGTCCAACAAGCTGCGGCCAGATATGTCTGTAATAATTATAATTTCGACAGTAGTGTAACCCAAATGCTAAATGAACTTGGGTGGCCTTCCCTAGAAAGCCGCAGACTCCAATCCTCTCTAGTAGTGTTCTACAAAATCCAATACAAACTTGTATATGTTGACCATAACCATCTGACCCCAACTAGAAATCTGAACTTCCTGATCCCCCAGTCCCGTACCCAATATCATCTAAATTCCTACTTCCCTAGAACTCTCAGGTATTGGAATAGCCTTCCATATCAGGTCAAATCCAGTACCAGCCTAGATACCTTCAAGGATAGGCTGGCGACAGTCACTTTCTAGTCCCCTCCCCAGTATGTTTTTAATCTTGCACTATTCTTTTTATCCTTTTTTATCTGTGATCTTTATCTTTTAGTATGCACTAATTCTTTTAACACAGTTTTCTTGACAAGCGCCTCCCAGTCATAGTCAGAATTGATTGTTCGGGAGTAACATGTAGATGTAGATGTAATTTATTACTAATTTATTACTAATGTATATACAATCCTGTAACAATAATAATGAACTGCATGTTTTTGTACTGTCTTTACTATTTGGTCATATTCTATAGTCACAAACACAGATTTTGTTGTATTCCATCCTTTTAGATGTGATAAACAGCACCTTTTTTCAAAATGATACAAAAGGAGTGTTTGTTCATTCAGTACTATTTGATGAAAACATTTATTTTTCAGGAGGATACTCAACATAGAAAATATCTTACTGATCAAATTTAGTATTTTATCAACTGAAAAAGATAAAAACACAATGTAAATACCAACTACACATCAAATAGGTATAATTTTGGTATGCAAACATTAACAATTGCCGTTTAACTTGTACATTATATAATTATACACAACTGTGTTTTATATTGCATGCTTGTTAATTTTTTAGACAAGATTTCATTACAATTACCTAATTAATATATCATTACAATTAACTGTCACATATTTATATAATCATAAAGACACTGAAAAGATCTCATTGATTAATTATCTTTGTTTTACATCCAAAATGTTGTTGAGTCAATTTTTACACTTTAAATGCACACTGATAATCAAAAATATAATTTATATAGAGCACATGACATAATTTTGATATCATCAGTCAGTGCTTATTTTAAAGCACCATGTCTCCTGATGATCGAAAATATTTCAATAAATCAAACTTGTGAAAAATGTACTAAGAATTTTGGTAAAGCAAGTAATAATTTACATGTTATGAGCGATTATTGGTGAATTTTCCTGTGTAACTATATTTCTACTGCGATACTTACGCAGTGAGGGCATTTTATGCATATTTTGACCTCTTTTTGTAATTAACGTGGGTTGTAAGTGCCATTAATAATGTGTAAAATGTTTCCTTTTGGTAACTATACAATAACATACATTTTATTTCATTTTCAAAATTTTCATGAAAATAAGCATTAATCTGGAGGCGTGCTGCTTTAACATTAAGCAAACATAAAATTCTTTTTATCAACATATCATCATCTATCACACACAGAAAGTTTTACGTGGTATTCATCACATGAAACTTTTCCAAAATCTTCAAATTTGTCTTTCCAAACTTGTGTCAAACTATCAACATCTAACTTCTCTAACTTAAAGCATGTAAACTCCAGTAGACGTAAGGGTACATCAACAGATAGTTTCTCCGTTAGGGCATCTAGAAATTCTACAGATAGCGGTGACTGGATACCACAATGTTTGGCTATAACTTCTTCTAGATTAGAAGTATTGCTGGCGGATGACTGAAAAAGTTGCTGAAGGACGTGGTTTGTCAGTTTGGGATTCATCGACAAGTCTAGTTTCTGTAAATGCTTTACAACAGCTGGTAATCTATGGGGGTAAAAAGACTTTGGATTAATAAATGGATACACAATAAGATTTTAGACAGGTTGTGTGGCCCAGTTTTAATGATTAGGGGAATTACATAAAAAGCAAATAATTATATATTGTCATTAACCCATCAAAAATATATGTAACAAATTCATGAAACTGCAATATTCTTTCATTGGTTAAAATAGAAATTTATTAAAAAATCTCAAGCAGCCATGTATAGATAAAATAATTATAACAATTTTAGATTTTGCAATTGGATGTGGTGATATACAAAGTTTTTCTGTGTTAAGCACACAAAAATAGCAAATAGAATATTGTATTAGACAACAAGAACCGTCAGAAGGACAGCATGCCAATCTATTTGTAAAACAAAAGATTGGATAATTTCTAAGTTCTAAAAGCTAAAAAAGCAATTTTTACTTTTCCTTCTCTAACTGAAGAACAACAAAAACACATCAAAACATTGACTTTGTTACGGTCAAATGCCAATTTTACAGTATTTGAATTTAAAAATGTTACTAACCTAATAAGAAAATCAGCATCTTCCATAGCTAGGTTACACTGACACAGTATTAGCTCTTGTATTGCACAGCCATCCTGTAACAATATTATATAAAACTTACAGGTTACACAACACAGATTCAAGATTCTAGAGAAAGCTCCATAGGAGAAGTAGTTTCTTTCCCATCTGCCCTTGAACTTAGTTTAACTAAATCCCTTAAATGTGTTCCAAGTGCTTCTGCAGATTTTAATGCATGAAAAAAGGTGCATTAACCCTCTATTAACATACAGCTCATGACCTTGTTAAATAATGCCCCTTCACAAAACTGACATACATGTATATGATAGAAAGAAATGTTTCTATGAGGCTAACAAGAGGTTTAGAAATGGATTTGATTTTATCTAATTTCCAATTTATACATGTATATATGACCCAAGTTTTGGTCATGATTTTTTCAACAAAACGGTTCTTAACATTTTTAGAAAATTTCAAAATAAATACCGACTGAATAGCAAACAGTGCAGACCATTTTCAGAGGACACGAATGTGTTAGCTGAATTTTGTGTGTACTGATTTCATGAGTAAAATTAGTCATTAGTTGTTTAAAAGAGTTAAAAGATATTTCTTGTTTCATATACTAATAGAAACTATAAAACTTAGAAGCAATTATTTAAAAAATTATTTTATAAAATTTTAAGAAAGATAAAAACATTCAAGATCCAGGCAATATTTTACATGTAATGTGCGGTTTAAGACTGATTTTGAAGTATTTTATCACCATATTTCTATTGTGTTACTAATGCAGTAAGGGCTGTTTTTGCATATATTGAAGACTTTTGGGGTAACTTTTGTGAATTGTAAGTGTAAACTGCTTTATTTGTTCACCTCAAAATATTTTACTTTTAAATACATCTCCAAAACTTTCTTGAAAATTAACATGAATCTGGAGGCGTGCTGCTTTAACATAAGATGAGTATATAATTCCCAACTAAAGCTGCCATAGATGTGACAGATACCCCCACCTAATCTCTTTGACACTGGATATCAGCTAGTGCAATATATCATAACTTTGAAATTTTAAAATATATATATAAAAGTTATTTGAAAAGTACAGAATTTCAGTGCAGACAAAAAACATTCAAATTTTGACATATTACATTGACAATGAGACTGCACAATGAAAGGATGGGTTCAGGACATTGCCTTGTTAAGGTGAAAATATTATTCAAGTTTAAAGAAAATTCTTGATGCGGTATACGTTTTATAGAGCAGACACAGATTGTATGACATTTGACTTTCAACAGTTGTCTGACCATTTTACCAAAATATCAGCAAACAAACTTACCTGACTAGCAAAGTTATACAGTTGTCTGTACACCTGTGATGACCTCTGGTCAGTTATTGTTGAGGTCAAATCTAATGAGAGTATCTTTACTGGATTTTGACACTTCAAGAAAAGTTCGACTCCTACACACCCAAGCACATTGTAGGAAATATCAAAATGCTGTAAACTTGAACCTAAAACAAAATTATTCAAAACATTTCACATCTTACATTAACTCAACATATATTGTTTACGTCTTTTTTTCTTTAATTATAAATTAATCATGTTTTTTGGAATTGCATTAGTGACAAGTGACTTGGTTATTTACATTCATGTATGATTTTACACTACAACTTTGACCCCTTTCATGTCAAGATACATTTTAGAAATAAATGGGACATTTCTGAAATAGGAGCTTTAAAAAAAACAAAAAACAAAAACAAAACAAGCAATATAAAAACAAAGAATGTGGGAGAGTGAGTAATGGTAACATACTATGTAAAGCTTCGGTCAGCTGTTGTCGGTCATTTTGAAAGAGTTTCCCTGTAAGTTTACACGATGACACAGATAACCTATTGAGCAGTGGAAGTCCTTGTATTAGTGAAGATATACCAACCAGACAACCATCATACAAAGGATTATGACTTATGTCTAATACAGTCACATTCTGAAATATAGATTATTATGATGTTGATTCTGAAATATAGATTTTTATAATGTTAATAGGAAAACATAGATTAATAATTTAATTAACAACAATATAACATTCTATCACAAGTGGCGTCCATGGCCCAGTGGTTAAGGTCATTGATTTCAAACCGCTTGCCCCTGACTGCTGTGGATTTCGAGTCCTGACATGGACATTCAATTCTTTCATGTGACGAAGCTATCCAATGCTGTATTTCAATAAAGCAATAATCTTTATGTAAATATACATAGATTTTGATCTTGTGAAGAGCTTTCTCATTTAAAATTGTTAATTTATTTTCATTCTATATTTCACTGCATATTCATGGTTTAGAAAGAAGAGGATCAAAATGAATAAATAATATTCAATTTAATACTTGATATTGAGCTTTCCACCTTGTGAATTTACGGTTATACCTATGCACAAATTCTGTGCAATTAAATACCAACATGAAAATTACAAAAAAAATCCTATAATATATACATTTTTTCTTACTACAATTCTGTTTTCAAATACCGGTAAATGAAATAAAAGTTCAATTATAAATAGTAAATCATGAAAATAGTGATTAATTCCAGCATACCAAGTCTTCTATAAGTACATGTATAAATCATTTTAATATTTTTAATTTACCAAATTACAGAAGAATACTTTACAATAAGGAAATGTAATATTACCTGTAAAGTTTTACAATTTTCTCCATTAACAGCTGTACACAGAGACTTTAAACCTTCCACAGTGATGTCATTACATGATAGGCCAAGATAAGTTAAATTTGGTATAGTGTTTAACACTTTACACAAGTTCTCCAGCCCAGCATCACCAATTCTGTTTCCTAAAACAATCAACAAATGATCCTGTATTATCATAATGTTTGTACATTTTATAAGTATAATAAATACAATAAGAATCTATATGATTTCACAATGATAAACATCTTAAGAAGAACACTATAATTTATTTATTAACCTTCAATAAATGATATTTTTTTGCTCTTTCCACTTTAATAGGGTATTTTTTTATGTGAAATTGCATAATTGATAATGGAACACAGAGTCCTAATTGTAAAACTAAAATATATTCCATTAATTGTCTTTTAATTTTTTTTTTTATTCATGTGTATTTTGGGACAGAACCCTTTCTTCACTTAAATAATGTAGAATATGAATGGTAAAAATGAAAGTTTAATGTTCAGTAGAGCTGTCATTGATTGAAACTAAAATTAAGAATGTAAGTATAAAAGTGAAATAATATCTCAATTTATAAGTTTTTTTGTCATTATTTCTCATCCGATATTGATATATAATTAATATGCTTTTGACTGAATCAATAATGGCTCTAATCTAAAGTGTGTTATCACAACATTTTGTAATGCTGTCCGAGGCCAATTTCTAAGCACAGGTGTCCTAAAAAGTATATTTAATAAATACACTATACAAGACAAACAACTGTGATCAATTGACACATAATCATGACATAACCAGTATCACAGTTCAGTTAGCTCCTATTGTTGGTACTAAATTTTCAATAATATTTCTAACATTCTATGATACAGACGGATGATATTCATTACCAACAGAATGTTCTTTAACTATTCTAAACTCACTCTCAGATATCCCAACACTTACCTTGTAAATTTAGTTCCCTGAGGCAAGTTTGATGTTGTATAGCTTTAAGTACTGGTTGAAATCTTGTTGGGCGAAGGGCCAGGTCACCTAAACACAGCTTACCGGTTACCTCACATGACTGTAGTAATGTTGATATATTCTTGTAACATACTGAAATACATCAAATTGTTATATACCAAAACAAAGAAATTATATATAAATTAATTACAAGTGTCATAAAGTCATCTTGCTTAAAACCATATGAGCCGCGTCACGATAAAACCAACATGATTATATCTAGTGTAAGAGTTCAGGTATTGCACTCAGTACATTTGTATATTCGACGTCAATATTCTTGTAAAAGACATAAAACTTAAACTATACCTTTTAAGAAAGTTAAAATCAATTTAATTTACTTAATTACAGAAGAAACATGCAATTATTGTTGATAAAAGGCTGACTGATTTATCTACAACCACTGAACAAAGAAAACATATAAATCTCGCATTTTCGGAGATGTACGGGTTTGATGGTCATCTGGTTTTGGTGGTCCTTTACTAGTATATATCATTTTTATAGTTCCTTCTTTTCCACATTTGAATGCTACAACAGATTTACTGTTTTCAAATTTTAAAGTTACCTGTTTTGAGTGCACTGCATACATTTTTATAACTTTCTGCCATAGGTGGCTGTTCATCTTTACTTTGTACAAAACTTTCTACCTACAAATAAGTTAAATTTTCTATTTTAGCACATCAATGAAACTACATACATATCGATACATGTAGAATAAAATGGCATATCTAGAAATGCTGAAGTACTGAATGTAACATAAATCTGTAAATCTATCTTGTTATACTGGAACACCTTTGAATACATTTCACTATAGATTAAAGTGTTAAAATTTGTTCAGGTAAAAAAGTTGAACAAGAAAACTGCAATTGTTAGAATTGGTTTTTGGACAAATTGCGGCCAGAAAAGTCAGATTCTCTCCAACTTCACTGCTGAAGAAACACCTACCACACCTGTGTATTAATATCATTAACAAGCATGATCATGGTTATATTCAGTGGTTACCTGGCAATTAAGCTACATTTGTAGATAGCTTTAACAAATGCAAGAACTAACAAAAAATCCAAGGTATAGCGGTACAAAATAAGTAACTGCAATCACTCTACCATGGTAGCCATTATCAAAATACTAGTCAATACAAGGAAAGTTCAATTAAACATTCATATAATCACAGAAATGATTTTGAATTTCTTAACTATCAAAGAATAGTAACTTACCAGGTCATTATCTATCAGCATTAGACTGACAAGATCATCAGGTGAAAAGTGTGCTCCATCTTTGCCGAGAGTCAGTTTTAATTTTACACCTTTCATTTTAAAATACCTGGTGGCCGCTTCCTCTGCAAGCCAGGAAAATGTTTTAGTTCCATCATTGTCTACCACAGGGATCAGTAATAAAACACCTTCAACGTTCACTTTAACTCTTATCACATTATTTAAATGATTATTTACTGACTTCTCCCTACTGGTAGCACTAACAGATTCTCCCATAGACTGGTTTACAATTATTGCACTATTTTCAGTTGATTGAGCACTAGAGCACAGTCTATCATTTAAATGTGTTCTGGCTGACATAGTTACAGAACTTCCAAAATCTGTCAATTTCAGTTGTTTTTGAGGATTTTTCTTACCGAAAAAATTACCACTAGAAATTTTGGTAGCAACAGTTTCTTGTTTTGACGGAACTATTTCTACATCGGAGTCATAGTCACTAAATAAAACATCAACATCATTTCCACCTATCACAGTATTATTGAATTCCTCCTCACTATCAATATTTGTTGTATTTGTCAATCTAGAACCCTCATTTCTCACTTCGTCCTGCTGATTTACCACAACTCCTGCCTCACTCTCAGAATCAGAGTCAATAACTTTAATTCTTTTCTTCTGACTGCTACAAGAGTCCCTATTTGACCTATCGGAGTGAGGTAATGGACTAACTGATCCTGACCGACTTCGTTTACGTATATTAGCAGTAGATAGGTACCCATTTACATCAACTTTTCTCTGTTTCGATGGTTTCATATCATCTATCAGCCAATCATTCTCAATAAATTCTTCCTCAGCAATCAGAGCTGCTGTATCCTGATTACTTTGTTTCCTAGAAGACTGTTAATGTAAAACATAACAAAATAATAAATGCTTTTTTTTAAATGACAACCTTTATCATTTTTCTACGAAAAGACAAACTAAGATTAGAAACCTTAAGAATAACAAGATGGTTTGATCTCTTACAATAATTCCCCTTAAGATATTTTAATTTAAATGAACTTTTTTCTGTGACGGAAAGACAAAACCGTTATCAGGATTTTTTTTTTAGTTTTTAAGAGGTGTAACTCAATAAAAATTCTTGCTAAAATAATTGGACTTGGTCAGAGACCTACCATTATGTATGTTTCAAATGTAATGGTAACATAAATTTTGGTAACTTCACAAAGTTGAATAATTCAGAATAATGGGTCCTCGAAAGTGCCCTACAATTATGATCTCAAAGATATGTGTAAAGTTTAAGTGAATACTTTCACTGGTTTAAAGAGATCTGAAGTTACATGCAAACATGCAAAATCTTAAACATGTATTACATGAACACTGACACCTGGGAGAGTAGATAGAAAAGTTTTCAGTGTATATACATTGTTATCAATTTCAAATGTAGACTGGTTTAACATTAATCAAAAACACAAATGTTTGGACTGCAAATTTCTACAAATCAATGTAAATAACTCACCTTTGGTTGTGAAGACTTAGATGCTCTATATGCTGATTGACCAACATTAGATATTGCCTGTTTGTAAGCTTCTGTAGCACACAGATCATAATCATCAGGATCATCTGAGAAGTTTTCATAAGCATTTTCTGATTCAGTTTGTATAGGACTGTTACTTTTCCTCCGGGCACTTAAAATTATAATGAAAACTGAGAATGAAGTTTATTTTGCGACAGTTTAGACTAGAATTTTGTTCATTCATAATTGAACAATTTACCTCCATACTACACTTAATATTAATTACATGATTTTAAACAAAGTAATTACAATTTCTCCAGAGAGTCACTTACAAATCAGTGTAGGATAATGCTTTGATCAACAAGTCATTGTCGGAAAATGTTCTGATTCTAGAATTCAATTCAAATACATGTATATTAACTGTAAAAGAAACAACAAGAAAAAAATGCCTGAATGCAGGTAGAATGTGAAGTTCAGTTACTGTTCTAAATCAGTTTATATGACAAATGATACTGAAGATTTCTAAAACACGAGGCAACAAATACTATAATAATGATAATGATAATAATAGTACCTAGAAGAAGGAAATGGCAAAATTAAAATCCCCCACCCCAAGGACTTATCCTAACCATTAACACTATTGAAATATATACACAAAGTAGTTACATAACCATATTTAATACCCAAATAAATAAAACAAAGAGGCAATAATCATTTGCCAAGAATTATAAAATCAAAAAATAATCAATCTGAAATTACTTGAAAAATGTAGAAGAATATGGCAGGCATTATTTATGACAAGCCTGACGCCAGCCTGCCATTCATCAATCTAAAAACAATAGACAGCCTTACCTCAAACATTTCACTAAAGAATCATCAGAGTCGTCAGAATCACTGTATATCATCACATCATTTCGTGACTGAGATTTTTTCTCAGTTTTAGATTTACGCGAGATTGTTGGTAAATCATAATCTTCATTCTCCGTCACTAGGGCAGATGGTCTGGCCTGTGACAGAACCTTGTTCCGAGTTGTTCCTGTATCAAATATACATATGAGCCGTGTCATGACAGAACCAACATAATGGGTTTGCGACCAGCATGGATCCAGACCAGCCTGCGTATCCGCGCAGTCTGGTCAGGATCCATGCTGTTCGCTATCAGTTTCTCTACTTGTTATAGGGTTTGTAAGCGAACAGCATGGATCCTGATCAGACTGCGCGGATACGCAGGCTGGTCTGGATCCATGCTGGTCGCAAACCCATTATGTTGGTTTTGTCATGACACAGCTCATATATTTATTACCAAACTTTATGAAAAAATTATTAACAAGAAGTTGATCACAGGATAAAAACATGTTCTTTACACCCAACCATTTGCATGTTATGATTCATAAACTTAACATTCAGATTACCCTTTGAAAAGCCTGCTTTAAAATTATAAAACACAAACAAGAAAATTGTCTCTTGCAGTATTTCAATTTCTGTTGTAATGATATATATATAAACTGACCTCTGTAAGCAGGCATTTTCTCTCTCAATATTCCTACAATATTGTTAAACTGAATCTCAGTCTTCTTATCAAGCTTGTCATTTTCTTCTCGTAACTTCATCAAGTGATCTAATGCTGTCATTTGCTAATATAAGAACAGAGATAAACATTTACTGATAATCGTTACATCAAATTTTTCCAGCATATTAAGATAACTTATAAACAAAATAAAAAGTTTTAAATAAAAAATTGTTTTCCACATAAGCAGTTCAAGGAAAATCATATTCCACTGCTAGCAGGATAATTCTAATTGTATATATTGTAAATTGTAACACTAAAATCCCATTTAATCACAATGGACACTTCAAGGTTACAGACAGGATAAGTCCATTACCTAAATTCAGTGGTGTAAAAAAATTGTTTAGCTTTGTTTTTCTGTTAGCTACTAAAATACATTCAAGATTATGACTTGTAATATGGCTAAATTATGCTTTGTTTGTTTGTTTGACTGGGTTTTACATCACACTGACACAGTATAGATCATATGGCAATGTTCCAGCTTTACTGTTGGAGGAAGACCTCAGGTGCCCTTTCGCGCATTATTTCAGGCATGAACTGGAACCTGAGTAGAACCACCGACGTTCCGTAAACTAGCTGGATAGAAATTATGCTTTAAAACATAATTTAAAACTAAGCGCAAAAATAATAAAATATATTTTTTCACAATATTTACTTATTTGTTACCTATAAAATAAGACTGTTAATGATGTAATTCTTACAAAACTAGAAATGTGTCATCATGCCACGGATGCCCCCGCATGCAGCCAAAATTTCAGATGGTGCATTAATTTTTTTTTTTCATTTTAAGTTCAAAGCCCTTAAAACTTTTCAATGTTAACACAAACCATTTCCATACAACGTTCAAGGCACTGAAATTATTCAGTCTTAACCTTTAGAAAAAGCATATTGCATATTTGTAGCCAAAATAATGGCTAAAAGAATGAGTGCTGAAACTGAAAGTTCAAAATTTTTCCAACATTCAGGAAAGATAAGTTTGTCTAAAATCATTGAACCATGACCAAATTCAAACTTAAACTGCTTATTCCTAAGATGTATCTATATTATTTTCAAAGTGAAAGGGACATAACTCTGCCAAAAATCCATCAAACCATGACCAAATTCCAACTTGACCTGCCCATTCCTTTGACATATCCATATGTCAAATTAAAATTGTATATGTAACACTGTTAGGTAGATAATGAACAGAAACTGTAAATTTCATATTATTTTCAAAGTGAAAGGGGCATTACTCTACCAAAAATCATTGAACCATGACCAAATTTGAACTTGACCTGGGCATTCCAAAAACATATCCATATGTCAAATTTGAGTTGAATGTGTTGTACCATTGGGGAGATAATAAACGGAAACTGAAAATTTCATATTACTTTCAAAGTGAAAGGGGCATAACTCTGCCAAAAATCATTGAACCATGACCAAATTTGAACTTGACCTGCGCATTCCATCGACGCATCCATATGTCACGTTTGAGTTGAATGTGTTGTACCTTGAGGGAGACAATGAACGGAAACTGAAAATTTCATATTATTTTCAAAGTAAAAGGGGCATAACTCTGCCAAAAATCATCGAACCACGACCAAATTTGAACTTGACCTGCGCATTCCTTTGACGCATCAATATGTCACGTTTGAGTTGAATGTGTTGTACCTTGAGGGAGATAATGAACGGAAACTGAAAATTTAATATTATTTTCAAAGTGAAAGGGGCATAACTCTGCCAAAAATCATCGAACCATAACCAAATTCGAACTTGACCTGTATCTTCTCATGACGTATCCATATGTCAAGTTTGAGTTGATTGTGTTGTACCGTTCTTGAGATAATGAACGGAAACTGAAATTTCATATTATTTTCAAAGTAAAAGGGGCATAACTCTGCCAAAAATCATCGAACCATGACCAAATTCGAACTTGACCTGTATTTTCTCATGACATATCCATATGTCAAATTTGAGTTGAATGTGCCCAACCGTTCTTAAGATAATGAACGGAAACTGATGATGACGGAATGACAGAATGACGGAAGGACGGAAGGACGGAATGACGGAACAGGGTAACACTATATGCCCCGGCCATTACATGGCGGGGGCATAAAAATCTTATAACTAATAAACAATTTAATTAAATTGCTTACATGATCATCTTTGGCGAGAGCATTGGCACCATACTTCAGCAACAGCTCTACAATGTCCAGCCACCCGACACTGGCAGCATCAATTAGTGGTGTCATCCCCTGACATTTAGGTCCGCCTCTATGATTAATGTCCGCCCCATGCTTCAACAGGTACTCTGTAATGTCATACCAGTTATTGTTGGCAGCCTCGTGTAGCGGGATCCAGCCACTGTTATCTTGTACATTGACAGGGTGACCCTGACACAGTGTATGTAATATATTAATAAGTAATACACTCTGCATTTCATTATTAATATTTTAGTAAAGAATACTGTTTTCATGCCTTTACATTAGTCCGATTGTCCTATACTTTCTACATACAATAATGGATAAGAGCATGTTAGACGTTTTACAACTGAAAAAGTAGTGCTGAACATGTAGTTATGTGATGTAAAGATAGCAAAATGTAAACAAAGTAGTATTTTGACTTCCATACAAAATACTAATTGACTATTGTATCTATAATAACTGCTAACAGAGATAAAGATGCAAAAGATAGTTCATGTTTATAGCAAATGAGTATGCTTTTGGAAACTGTAACAAGATACCGAAATTAAACAGTTTTTGAGAAATAAAAATGATAGCATTTCTGAGGCATAATGGGCCTTTAAGATAAATTCGCTCCTAAATAATTACTACTAATTTTCTCAAAATTTAGAAATATAATTCTAAATTAACCAAACATGTAAGTACTATCGATAAAACCAATTTTCCTACACCAAGAACAAATTGACGGTCAATAACTGTAGTTTATGATGAGAAACAAAATTTACCTCAGATATCAATTGTTTAACTTTCTGTAATTCACCTTTAATACATGCACGATGAAGTGGTGTCTCACCAAAATCATTTCTCTGTGAAATACAAAACACTATATAATGATGTAAGAAAAAATAATTGATCATATTCTACTGCTTAGTTCAGTACCATACATCTTGCTTTTCTTTCAAGATGTTAAAACAACTGTCTCACTTTCATTGTTTAAGCATTCACTAGTGATCAATAAAACACATGTTTCTGGCGCATAATATTTATTAAACAACTTGATAGCTATATTTTTTCTCTATTTTATATACAACATTCCAATTTTGAGCATTTTGTTTAATAACTTTATTTTCATTCACAATAACTTCAATCCTCAAAACAAATACAATCAAAATATTACTTCTGGTATTTTACTAACTTCAACCATTTTTGAGACGGACGCGCCCTCAGGCGCGTTCAGAGCTAAGTCATCTACACATGGGATTTCGTTGGCTACTATCGCGCAATGTGTCCTAAACCAATTAACAGCCCAAGAAATAGTACATGAATTTGATCCTTCAAAACTCCCATACTTTGTCTGGATATCTTAATATCTTCCATATTAAGCCTTTTCAATTTCAAATTAAGTTATCCAAGTTAAAATATGAACGTATATTATTGATAAAACGTTGTAGTCCCGTAGTATTATTGCACAATATGCAAATTACTGCTGAAACGATTTACCGCTGTCGAAAAAGTAGGACAGCAAATTATACTACAATAAAGGTGTAACCTCTGAGTTCCAAGACATTATTAGTAGGAAATAAATATTTCTACATTATACAAAACATTATTATTAACAAATCAAAAGTTTTTCGTGACTCTAGGATAACTCGCGCATTAATAAAAGAAGAACTATTTTTGTGACTCATACCGCGGGTTTAGCTGAATATTCAGCAGTTATTAATATATTAGATACAGTACAATGGTTAGTATAAATATCTATTTTTGAAAATGCATGTAAGACACTTTACCGTCATGTAGTCTTTCATGGTAAGGAAGTTATAATATCAGTTCTACTTCCGATTCTTGTGGTTTGTTTACATATTTTACTAGGTCATGATATGAGTTAACCTTCGCTATTCTAAAAATAGATTCTGCTTCACCTGTTCTGAATTTGGACTGGCGATTAGGAAGTACACATTAAACATGTAATTAATAAACCAGCGGATTGTAATGCAATACTTTTAGAAATGCTATACAATTGTAAGAAGCAAACTAGTTGAAAATGGAATTTAGTGTGAAGTTGAAAAGGACAACTAAACACTGTAGTGCTTAAGTGACATTTAAATTAAAATAAAAACGATGTGCTCTGGCCTCTACATCTTTACCTTGTAAATAAAAAAATCTAAGAAATACACTATTAATTGCTGATGATTTCAACCAATTTTTTTTTTAATGAGACATATCCAAGAGAAATAAAAATACAAATGACTTATATTTTATTGTCTGTATGCCCACTATGATATAACACGAAGCAATTCTAAATAGCATTCTCAAATGTATAATGTATTATGTTTGAAGTTTATTTGCCTGGATTTATTCTAGAAATATTTCGTTGATAGTTTTTTTTCTATTTACATATCATTTCTTAGAATAAATCGATAAGGACACTGATTTACAAGTTTGACCAGAGTTTTTAGGCATAAATTTCATTCTGTATTTAAGTGCTTGAAATCGAAAATCTGAATTATATCAATTTGGGACACAAAATATATTGCTCTACAAATCTCGAACTTGTATGGAACAAATTTTCTCTGTTATATATTTTGTGTTTTGTTTTTGTTTTGTTTTTTTTTTCTAAAAGAAGCCTTAATGTCTCTCCGGTTGCATGTCCGTCGCATTCAGTGCTGCAGCACTTTGATTACCTTTTGTTCTTTTGATCGTTTACCATTCCGTCTTGCCATTCTCACTGTGTTCAAAACAATCTCATCATCGTCTTCTAAAAACAAATACATCAATTATCTGAAAATTTTCACCTGTATCTTATTTGAAATATTACATTTCTAAATAAAGCAAATCAGAGCTATAGATTGTAAAAGAGTATTCAGCAAAAACATCTATCTTATATGATATAAATCAACTAGCAGGGTTGCCAGCATCATAGATAAATAAAATTCCCTGACTTTTCCCTGACTTTTCACTGACCAAATTAGGTTTTTCACTGACTAAAACTACCAAACTTAAACGGTCTCCACCTCCCCTACAGCCGTCCAATTCACCCCAGGGCTTTCTTTCCTTCTATAGCAGGGGCCATTATAGGACTGTTTCCCTAAAAGAAATTCTTTAAAATCATGCAGTTTTCCCACAAAATATAATTTACATCAAGTGTTTTTTTCCCCTTTTGCAAATATACCATTAATGTATCCCCAAAATTAAGGGCAGGGCTGCTTCCCCAACCTGTGAAAAAAAGCCCTGCACCCATAAGTTTTTTTGTTGGTTTTTTTTTTAATGCTTTTAACAATATGGTCAACAAAACATGCTTTATACATCTAAGTTTGGTTTTTTGTGTTCAGTAAAATGTTTTTGATAAGATCAAGTCTGAAGCAAAACTATTATCTTGAGCTACAGAATACTGCCATAGCCAATATAATTAATAACAAGAGGGTCATGATGGCCCTGGAATTACTCGTCTGAATATAAAAACTCTCCATGAACAAGAATAATTTTGACCCCAGGGCTTTTATTTGAACAAAGTTGGTAAACACCCATTGGAAAATGTTTCATGCCAAATATCTAAGCTCTAGCTCTTTTGTTTTTTTAAAAGAAAACTTTTTAGTTTTTACTATATATACATATAAGGAAAATTAATGACCCCATGACTGGACCAGTTTTGACCCTAGGGCTTTTATTTTAACAAACTTGGTAGACACTTACTAAAAGATGTTTCATGCCAAATATCACAGCTCTACCTCTTTGGGTTTTTCAAAGAAGATATTGTTTTTTGTTTTTTTTACTATGTACATAAAAGGAAAATCAGTAACCTCCTGGGGTGGGGCTTATTTTGACCCAAGGACTTTTATTTGAACAAACTTGGTAGACACACACTAGAAAATGTTTCATGCTTAATATCTAAACTCTAGCTCTTTTGGGTTTGTTACAAGAATTTTTAAGTTTATATAAACATATAAGGAAAATCAATGACCCCCTTGACTGAGCAAATATTGACCCAAAGGCTTTTATTTGTACAAAATTGGTAGACAGTCACTGAAGATGTTACATGCTTAATATCTAAGCTCTAGCTCTTAAAAGAGGTGAACATGGTTTTTTTTCCAGTTTTTACTTTATACATATAAGGAAAATTCTTCAAAATTATTTTTCCCTGACTTTTCCTTGACTTTTAAGGATTTTTATTCTTCACTGACCAATTTTCAAAATTCCCTGACAATTCCCTGACCTTGAAAAAATATCAGATTTCCCTGACTTTTCAAGTCTGCTGGCAACCCTGACTAGATACAACGGTTTTGTACTATGCACTGAATACGCACAGTTTTGATATTATAACGTGGGTACAATAAAAGTTCAATCTTAGCAGTAATTTATTCAACTATGAGAAATCATTAAATTGCATCTGCAGCAAATTTTCATAAATACTCATTCCTGTAAAGTTTCACTGAAATATTATGTACTAACAATATGAAAGGAACTTGTACATTGGCAACACAAATACTGGTATCACTTCGTTGTTTAAAATAATTAATTTACAGAATAAATAATATGTCACAAAGTTACCTTCCTTATTGTGGTGCAGAAGCAGTATGCGTTAGAAAAAAAATCTTATTCTACATTAAATCTACTTTATTTTTACTTTCAGAAAAAGTTTTACCAGATTCTGTAAAATCTGACATGTCGACTTCTTCTTCCATGTTAACCATATCATTAAAGTCTGTCACATCATCATCATCTTCCATCACCTGACTCTCCTCCTCATATTCTACATCTGTTATATTATACTTGGTTTTCACATGATCTAACTGATCTGATGCTTTCTTCAGTGACTTCTCATCTTTGTTGATCTTAAACAGCTCCACCAGACATCTGAGTGCTCGACACTGTCACGATATACAAGAAAACACCAATAGATGTTGTCGGAACACAGCAAATGTGGGTTTTTCAAAGCTTATCCCCCGGTACAAACAAACTTCAATCATTACAGCTTAACAGTGCACTACCCGTCACAATAGATTAGTCAACATGTTGTGCTTAATTTCTCAACAAGTTGCATTTATTTTCGAAGCTATAACTGTAAAAGTTTGTACCCCAAGATTAGCTGGGAAAACCTCAAAATATTCTTAAGTCCAAAGTAAATCTATTACAGGCAACAATAATACATTATACCAGCGCCAAATAAATTAATGAATTATAGTGTTTAGCTAATAAAGCTTCATTAGGCACAAAAATTCTACTAAGTTTATCATTTCTATAATAATCCTTTCATGGTTAAATCATATAGTAGTAAACTAAAATCAACAAATCAATATTTAATCAGTTAGTGAGTAAAAGAATCATTTTGTCTAAAAAAATGTCATGCTACTGACATTTGTCAAACAAGTCACCTGTATTGACCATTGACCCTAACAAATGATAGTATTTAATAATTGTCATGAATTGAATTGCATGTACATGAATACACACATAAAACAAACATGCAGTATGATTTAACAAGATTATAGGAACTAGAAACATCCAATTAATCATGAACATTCAGCAAAAATATCAGGTGTTATAATATATAAAGGTATACCTGCAGTTTTCTGTTACCAGCTCTTTTAGCAGCATTGTGAGCATTAACATAGGAATTCTGGACTTTTTTATAATCTACATCATTCTTCTCCTCGTATGATGCTATATTTAACCAACTTCTACAAACCTGTAATATAATACATTTTGTCTCATCATTTTATTTATCATCTACTTTAATTTTCTTATACTAGTTGTTTAAAATTGTTCTTAAATAAAATACTTCAAACATTACATTACATTCTTTACAATGAGCATCAGAATATTGAAATAAAACTGTATTTATTTTTTATATAGTAATGTCCAAGAGTGAGAATACACTTCATCATAAGTATGTAGATGGTAGCAATAAAAGCACAAGCATTCCCTGCAATTAATATCATTTAATGATAACAATATACAAATAACAAATTATGTATTTATTTTTTATTTATTTTTTTTTGGGGGGGAGGGGGGGGGGTACTTTGTTCTAACACAGTAAAGGTCATATTGTGACTTTCCAGCTTCAGTGGTGGCGGGAGACCTCAGGTGCCTCTCTGTGCATTATTTCAGGCAAGGATAGGCACCTTAATAGAACCACAGACGTTAAATAAGCTAGCTGGATAGCTTCCTTACATTAAAGTATCCAGTCTCTGGCAGAAATCAAACCAAAAACGGTGTGGGACTAGTGGTTTGAAGTCAACTACCTTAACCACTTGGCCTCTTATGGCCCTCCTCAAATCTTGTTAAATTATGTACCACTCTGTCTCAGAAAAACAGAATATTTGGTGTTCACTCAATGAAATATACTCCAATCTTACACTGATTAAAACAAATATTACCATATTTGTATTATTTACAATTTATTCTCACCTGTTCTTGGTTTTCATTTCCATAGCATTCTATTTCCTTCTTATAGTAAACAATAGCTTTATCATACTGGAAACAATCACTGTATGTTTGAGCCAGGGAAATATAGGTTGGTATCAACTCCTTCTTCTCTTTATTAGCTGATATACTAGCTGCTAGCTACAATACATAACAACTAACATTAATCTGTTAATACACTTTTTTTTTACAATTTTAAGATCATGTAAAAGGTAAAGGTTTTGTTTATTATAGTGTCAGCCCTACTGAAAAGGCCAGCCATTTCTGACTTATGAGACACCTTTTGCTTGCATAACATGTACCTCCCAACTCCTACCACTATGCCAGGCACCAGGCAGATAGAAATCAGTAACGATTCATTTTAACTACCTCGTGGCTCACAAAGCAGCCATTTCTGAATAAGATCATGTATTATAATGTAATATTCAAGTTCAATTTATATCATAACATAATGTAATTTTAACTCACTAAAGAAAATTATAGTTAGAATGGCTTCTTTTTCTATTTTAACAGGTATCAAGAAGAAGAATTTCTTAAGGCACTTTGTCTTTCATTCTAATCCTGATTTGTTTAATAATATTTGAAATGCTTTGTGTATATCGTAAATTGTAACATGTTTACGTGTATATTCTGAGAAATAAAACATGTTTAAACAAAATAACAGTATCAAATGGTGAAATATAATTTTAAGTGTACACAGCCACCATAAGTAAAAATTAACTTTTGGGGATTAGAACAGGACATTTCCAGCTAAATTAATGGAGGGTGGCTCGGATGTCCTTCACAGTCACTTGCCAGCACCAGTATAAAACTACCATTTACCTCCTGTAAGCTAACTTCATATCTTCCTCATATAAAATAACTGAACATTCACTTCAATACAGTCACACAATATTACATTTATATACAGAAATAAGCCAACATAGTTGAGGAGTTAAAGTCTTTATCACTTAGGCTACAGAATATACACAGGCAAAGTTGAATGTTGCTCATTAACTCAAAGTTATATGTATAATCTATGTTGTTACACTGATAAATAAACTCACCACTTTGTTATAATAGATAATGGCAAGATCAAACATTTTCAGATCTACAGCACAATCTCCTAGTTTATCATACAATGGTATCCTTCCAACCAAATCTTCTTTACCCACTTTTCGCATGGTGTCCATTGTCTTCTCCATACACAATACTGTAAAACAATATCAAACCTTCATACATGCTTCACCAATTTGTTAAGGAGACCTGCAAGTTTTTTATGTATTCTTTGTAATTGATGATTTAAGAAAATATCTACCCAATGTTGTACTGCGCAATTTGAAAACAGTAAAACATTTCCCAACATAAATTACAAATTGGCATGTAACCTTGGCAATTCATGTTCAAGGTATGTAAGATATTAATCCAATAATTTGTTCAAATTTTATTTTAGTTTTATATCTAAATCACATACTTGGTTTTATATGTAAATCACATACTTGGTTTTATATGTAAATCACATACCTGGTTTTCCAAGTCCATTTAATTTATAGTTTACACAATTTTATTTTAGTTTGTGTTGGAAGCTATAGGCTTAATGAATCACTCTCCAACCCGTTTCGGAACTAATCAGTACTAAGCAATGAGTGTAATGTTTCTTGCTCAAGGAAACAACAGCTTGCCCCTGACAGGGTTGGGACCCATGACAGCAATCCTTAGATAACTAGTCTGACGTGTTTTAAGGCTCAACTGATCATGAACTAGCACAGAGTAATTAAATTTTACTTAAAATACATTTTTTTAGGGAGAATATCATTTTTTCTGAAAATTACAAAATATATAATGACTTGTCATTATAGTGAACAACACAGACCATGATCAGATGGATAAAAGTGCCAGTTAATCATGGACTGCACTTATCCCAAGGATAGAACTTATTGCAGCCAGCAGGCTAAGAATTAATAATGGGAATGAGTCTGATAACCTTAACTTTACAAACAAAAAAAAACAATCATTACTTTAGGAATTTGCATTATTTAGATAATTGGAAATGTATAATACATGAAAGATGCTGAAAGACAATAAAAAATAATAATTTAAATGAAAGGATAACTAGCTTTTGATTTAATTTATTCAACATCATGACTATTATAAGAGACCCTTTTCTTAGGATCTTAAGAATTTCCCTAGAGTGGATATTAATGGTGTAACGGTTTACCGGTATACCGATATATTGCAATATGAAAAAATTAATTTCGAACCGCGGTACGATTTTTGGAAAACCGGTATTTTATAAAAATCATTATTTTCAATTAATTGCCCTCTAATTTTGTACAAATTTCACATAAAATCTTTAATTGGCAAATTTTGTTGCCGCCAACATAAGATAAAAGTATCCGACAACTAGTACACTTAAAAGTCAATAAGCGGCCGCATAATTTACATAAGCGGCCCAGATGTGAAAGGTCACATGCGACTAGTTTTGTTTATCAAATTGTGTGACACTACTTTCTATTTATTCCTTACATTTTTATTAAGTTTCTACTAAAAATATATACATATAATGATAATATTTAAATGTTACTCTATCTTTACATCAAAACATATACACGACAATACGTATTGCAATATATTGCAATACACTTCAGCAAAATGGCAATATATTGCAATACGGTTTTTGCTGTATTGTTACACCCCTGGTGGATATTGATACCAAACTGCTTCTACGTCTGTTTCAATGATACTACTTACGATAGAAAAACAAACAAAATTTAACATTACATAATATTTACCTGTCTTATAACAAGCAAATATTTTAGAAACTTCCTCTTCATTATTCTTGTTAATCTTATTAGCTTTCTTTAACAAGTGGCGGGCTGACTGGTACTTTTTCAACTTTATAAAAGCCTGAAAAGGATGAATGACAAAATAACATTTATTTTATTAACTTCTTCCTGCTAGAAAATTAAGTCAAGCATTTGAAAAAAAATCTACTTCATGTATGAAGTAAACTTGATTTTAATAACATGCCATTCATGATTTGCAATATTGTCAATAAATGATTTTTTTTTCCTTTCAGCATTCTGAAATAAAGTTTCCTTATTTAAAAAAAAGAAAAGAAATTTTCTATGTGTAAAGAAAATTAATCATTAATGTACAACATAGCTACACACAAAATGTCTACCTGTATTTTAAGCCATAAAACTTCAGTCTCCAATAGTTTATTCTTCAGTTTCTTAGCAGTAGTGATTGCATCATCCAGGAATTTACCAGCATCTTCAAGTTTGTTACATCTTAGATATATTTCTCCTAACACTTTCTGACATACATACAACATATCGGTCAAATAATACTTCCTGAAATCATACAAACAATTAAAGCTACATATTTCTTACATTTTTTTCTATCATTTTTTTTCGTTTGATTTCAAGAGATATCCATACTGTTACTATCCACATGGTGATGATACAGGTTGCAAGGTGATGGGAGTCAAAATTAGCCTTATATTGCATTATTTTAAACACAATCAGAGGCACCAACCACCTTCCATAATTATTGTTGCTAAGCTACACTCTCCATTCTAACCTTACCATAGCACAAACCATAGATGTTATTTGAGTAATTACAAATTATACATGATTTACAGAACAAATCATTAAGGTTTAGAACTAAAAGCTGAAGTTGCATTTGATGAAACAAGTGTTAATCAAAATGAAACCAGAAAAGGGCAATTACAAATTAGTTATTGATGACAAAAGAAAGAAAGGAAAATAAAGTAGAATCAAATACATACTGACATAGAGACAAAGCTTTATTCAGGTACTGTCTACTATTGTCAGAATCTTCTAATCCCTCATATACAAGACCTACAATTATCACAATATACTTTCATTAATTAATTAATAATTATCATAATATAGTTTAATTAATTAACAATTATTACAATATAGTTTTATTAATAAATAAATAATTATCATAATTTTCTTTCATTTACTTCTTAACTTGTTTGAAATTAAGGTGAACAGTTTAGAAATACAAAATAACTTTGTTTAATCATTCTACATATTTTTAATATGAAGATGCATTTGAGAAGTTCCGATGGAATACCAAAATAATCTGATCACTGGTTGCTGTATATTATAGGTATGAGAACAAAATTAAATGTTTTTTTCTGACATATAAAAATAATTGTATAGCTTTTTCATCAAATAAAATGGTAATTACACAAAATAGTCTATTTTGCTTGGTCAGTTATTATTCAAAAGATTGCATGTAAAAAAAAATTGTACTAAATTACAACATATCTCACTACGACTGAGTTTTTGATACAGTAAGATAATAATCAACTTACCTAGATTATAAAAGTTTCTTGCTTTCATGTCAATAAATTCCTTTTCATCAATGGTTCCCTTCAGGTCATCACAAATCTGTAAACTTTTCAAGTAGACATGTTCAGCATTTTTACTGGCTCCCCTTCTAGTTTTCATAGATAATGTCCTCTCATTACTTTGTTCTAGAAATGTGTTACCAATTGTTGTCAGGGCTCTTTGTTCTTCAACTAAATCATCACATTCTCTGAAAAAATATTCAATACAGAAGTCAATTTGCTAGTAGTTACTGCAAAAATTTGTTATAATTTCACAAGAAAGTGGTTAAAATTATTTCATAGTGGTCTTATCATTTTATCAGGGAATGCGACTGAATACAATTCTTGTCATATAATGTTTTACCTTTAAAGAACCTGAAAATATGCTTGCATGATGATATGCATACTCATATAGTATTACATATACATGTATTATAAATTGTTCATCTGCAACATGAGAAAGCCATATTTAAAGGGACTCCACTGAGTTTTTTTTGACATGATGGTACTGAAAATATTTTTTCCAGATACATTTTTTAAATTTATTTCAAAGTATATTTCTTAACTATCTTTGCATATATCTCTGTTTAAATAAAGTGCCCCAGCTCATTCAAATAAGAAATTTAAATGATCTGATTTTAGGCATTTAAACCTCAGTGGAGTCCCTTTTAATAAACAGGCTTCTAGTCAATTGAATGACTGAGTCACTCAATTCAACATATGGCAGTGTGGCCAAGTGGTTAACATATCAAACTAGTTATCTAAGGATCGCTGGCCTCCTGGGTTCAAACCCTGTTCGAGTCAAGCCGTTGTTTCTGTGAGCAAGAAACTTTACACTCATTGCTCAGTACTGGTTAGTTCTACAAATGGATTTGAGAGTTTCAATAATCTTATAGCTTCCAACACAAACTAAAATAAATTATTTTAATAATTATCTAACATGTGTGGATCTGTATTATATATTTAGTAGCTTTTGGGTATTTCATATTTATATTGATTACTTTTATTACTGTTTCATTATTTCAGAATGTAGTACATGTACAGGTGTTTCACATGTATAACACTGTCACTTCTGTATGAAATGTATTGTCTTTCTACTTGCAGGAGTATAATTTCTCAAAGATTTGGGAAGGGGCCCTTGCTTTAAATTTTGGGGAAAAAGATGTGGTAATTTTACAAAAGGGGAATTTTTTAGGAGGGAAAGACACCTATAAATAGCCCCTGCTATTGAAGGAAACAAGAGCTGTCGGTAGGACAGCATGCTTGACTTTTCCCAGTGCTTGATAGTAAAACAAAAGCATGGATAATGTAGAATTTCCCAAGTTTAAAAAGTGCAATAATTCTATCAAAGTCCATATTAGAGTTATGGGCCTTAGATAGATACTCTCATATAAGTGTGTGAATTCCAGTACTTTTGGAGATACCAACATGCATGCAAAAACTTAATCAATGTGAGGCACTGATGCCTTGGTGAGTCCCTATTCTTTGGAAGACTGGCAATAGAAAGCTGTACGAGATAAGTTCAAATACCTTGCCAAAGAGAGATACTTCTCATGTAACGAATGAGCTTTTTCGTAATCTTTCTTCTTACAGTAGCATTCCCCAAGCAGTCTGAATGCTACAGCTATATCAATCTTTCTCCCGAGAACTTCTCTCAACCTCAGTGCCCTCTCATGCTCCTCAATAGCAGCCTCAAATTCTCCTACAATCAAAACATCATAAGAATCATTAACTATGAGCCAATTGTCCTGAACTTAAAATAAACAATAAATATACATGTGTAGTTAGACATATATAGTTAGACATATATAGTTAGACATATATAGTCGAGTTCTCAGTAGCCCAGTGGAATGTCAGGACAGCAGATAAATATAATGACAGACTGCATTTTTATTCAGATCAAATTTTATTCTTTTTCTTTGGCATTGCTGAGCTTATGTGCAAAATTCAAATAATATAATTATGCTGACAAAGAAGTTTGCTAATACAGGTAACAACCTTCACAGTCCACAAATACATTTCTAGTAAAACTCTATTTGGAAACTACTAAATCAATTTCACAAAATGATGCAAAATTTAAAGAAACTAAACAATTGACAAGAAGCAACATAAAGGAAACACTTATCATTACCTACCATATTTTTCATAGATGTCACCAATATAATTGGAGATACGAGCTTCATTTTCCAGATTACCTTTCTTTTCAGCTTTCAGCCGTTGCTTTTTATATGCTGAAGATGAAATAGAACAGACAACTGTTAATACAATGGCTTTTGTAGTAAACAAAAGATTGCAAATGCTGATCATGGTAAAAGGGTATAATAAGGTAATAAAAGAGCACTATATACACAGTAATTTACAAATAATTCCCATTTGTTCCAATAATCAACTTCACTAATATTATAAAGTCCTGTTCCAATAAATTAATAACTTCTCACTAACATTATGAAGTCCTATCATTTAATTTTAGATTGTGAATACTTATACATGTACATGTATGTAAAAATTGTACCTCCAAAATTTTAAATATGCGTTGTTTTTTTGTTGTTTTTTTCAAGTAATATATTTGACTTGACTAAAAATCACCTTTAACTAAAAATATCCCTGGTCCCTGATTATAATTAATGTTAAACATTATAATTGTGAGAGGGAGGGTGATGTTAACATATTAAATTGTGACAAAAAAAAAAGGTAAAATAAAATGCAACTCTAAAAAAATTTCAATTGTAACATGAGCTGTCACAGGAGACAGTGATACTCGACTAATAAAATACTGGACACAGTAAGGAAGACAAAACTATGAAAGAAAAATCAAATGTATAATTATGTATTAAGTTATAGTAAAAAATAACATTTGGTAAGTCAACATAAATTCCAAGTTCAAGCGGGAATAATTCTGGAAATAGTCATGCTAGAGTTATGAACCTTGTTTTAAAACATGTGTGTAATGATAAGAAATATATATTTGAAGTTTGATACCTTAAAAAGTAAAGAAGTTATAATATTTGATAAAGAAAATCCTAAGTTCAAAGAGAGATAAATCTGAAAATATTGCTTCAAGAGTTATGTACCTTGTCAAATACATGTAAGATGTAATTGATGATAAGTATATGAAGTTTGAGGTAGATACCTTTAAAACTAAAGAAGTTATAGAACATGTACTAAAAAATACCATTTTTTAAATAAATAATATGGGGAGATAATTCTTGTAATATTGGTGCTAGAGTTATGAACCTTATATATTTGAAGTATGAAGTTGATCCCTTAAGAAATAAATAAGTAACAGTAAAAAATAATAGTTTTTAAGGAAAATTCTAATTACAAGGGGAGATAAATGTGAAAATATTGGTGCTAGAGTTATGAACCTTGTCACATAAGATGTGGTTGATGATAAGGAACATATATTTGAAGTTTGAGGTTGATACCTTAAGAAATGAAAAAGTTTTAGGGAAAAATATTTTACTGCACCAACTTTAATCTGAAATCTGGACGCGGACGCCGATGCCGGCGAGTAAGACAGCTCTCCAGTCAAGCTAAAAATGGCATTTTTTTTGTTAAGAAACTGGATTGTGAAGGCCTCAAGGGGCTTTTTCAAATTGTGGCAGGGCCATTACAAGACCCCTGTTATACAGTGAAAATTAGTTCTGCTTGGAATGCTAAGTAGAAAGTAAACAATGATGAACATTCATTTTCAATGAAAATGATGAAAGTGGTGTAACCAGGGCTCTAGCAACTAGGTGATTTGAGCAACTAAGTCACCTGAATTTTATGTACTTAGCTAAGTTTGATCATGGTGAAATCGACTTCGGTGTTCTTTACGTACAGCATGTACAGATCTTTACAATCACACAGCGCTTGTCAATAAATTATATCCTCCCACCGAGCGTAACTTCACTAAATTGATGATAGCTGTTACCATTTGGTCTATTTACCCCAAGACAACCCAAGAAACTTGTATAATATATAATGTTACTTGTATAAATTGGAAAAGTTTTATTATAAACAATGACAGATTATGATTGATTTATAATAGAACATAAAACCCTTGTAATTAGCAAATGTAACATCACATTTAACTCATAACTGAGCATATTTTATACAATACCTAACAAGTCAAGTCATTTTTTTATAAGTTGGATACATATATCAATTAACATGAGCTTTTTACACCAACTACAACAAAAACGTTTTAATCAGAGTTGAGAAAGTTTACACCATGAATTGGTTTTAACATATTTGACATTAACTAATGCATTGTCACATCGACAATGTAAATTTACATGCATAAAAAAACAGGAAGTTAAATGGGCCAAACCGTTCACACTAAATCAGCAAAGAAATGAGATGTTGAAAAATAATCATAAAAATGTTTTGTGATTTAACTCCTTAGCCCACATTGATGAATTTAGTGTTGAATAATTTTTAGTCCAAAAAACCTCCTTAGCCAACAATTTACAGGGTTGAATAATATTTCGTTCCAAAATAATTAAGTGGAGACCTCAAAAGCATCAATGCCTAATGTTTGTCTAACTTTGTGGTCGAAACGTCTTGGGACGAAACGCTTTGAAAGACATGACAAAACGATTTTACAGATAAATAATATTAAGCTCTTTTTGTTTAATACTCCATCCCTATCAGGCTCTTGACTTTAAATACGTACAAGCCAATGCTTTTTCATCATCGTTGTCCATAGAGCTTTAAACTAAAAATAAAGATTAATTTACTAAATATTTTATTTTGTTTTTCGCGGAAACTTCCTGCGCATGAACATTTTAATGGCCCCAAAGATATTTTATTAGCGTAAAGTTATCATGGGGAAATGTTAGTAGCAGACGTAAAATTTTTATAGCCAAAATATAAGTATACTAAAAATCATGAAATCTGATGATCTTATGAATAGTTTAAACAAATAAAATTTAAAAACATTGGTTTGTCATGTCAAATATATAGCTAAGTGGTTTCGTAGAGAAGTAATTCTACAACGTACAATATTGTAATTTCTTTAAAAAGTCTGCGGATGTTTCTAAATTCAAAATTTTACTATTTCACGTTTAAATGTTGAATTCTGCTTAAGCCGGTGCTAGGGGGCGTGGACGGTAACTTGCACTTTCCAGTACCGTCCATGAACAGGCTTAATCAAACCGAGCCTGCAACATTTTCAATTTTGCCGTGTTGGGCTTTCTTTAGGGATTCTGTATTTATCTATTTTAGGTGCTAAATTAAACTTTAATGATAAAGCTTGCTTTACATCTTTAAAATGTGCCCAAGACTAATCTATAGGCCAGTTTTCATCGCCTCTTGCTTAAGATCTTGTAGATCTAGTTTTGAGTAAAATTTCCAAATTATTTGCCAATATGCACGTATTGACCTGTTTATTATTTCTGGTCCTCATCCTTGACATTCATAATGCAAAGTTGCAAACAAAAGGCCCAGCATAACAAATTTTAAAATGATATTTCAAATGTCCCGGAGTTCTAATGATAACTCACATTTTTGTGCTAAGGATGAGCGTACTACATTTCATAATGAATGACAACCTTAATTATTGAATAACAAAAACGCTAAAATGTGCCGTGATTTAGCGCAAGAAACACACTGGCAGTATCAAAAGTTATCATAAGAACTCGAGAACATCTTCTGAGTTATCTCTAGAACTCCAGGATTATATACAAAAGTTTTCCGACGAACTCCGTTTCAATTAACACAAGAACTCCAGACAAGTTATCATTTATAATAACTCCATTGCTCGTGTAACAGTTCCTTCCCCGTGCGGTTGTCACATACTTGCACTTGTTCACAATTTTGTATTTTATGCCACATGTTCTTATGAACCATGACAGTTTTGGATAAATCTTGTCAAAAAGGGGCTATATTCAATTTCATTTTGTAATTATGTCTTAGTTGATTCACCATCAATATACTGTGGAAGGAAGAAAACATAGGTCAGTGCGTCAGTCCAAGCCAATGCCTTCTGACACCATAACTGACCCCTTCCGTAGCGGTGGTGCTCAGCAATATTTCCAGCTCGAAACTTTTCCCAAGGTCTTCTCAGACTCTTGCACGTCTGTCAGAAAGTCTATAGGCAAAAAGCTAAACGGGTATAGGTATTAATCTTGTCTCCAAACCAATAAACGGTGGTATAGTTTTTGATTAGCGTAGACTTGGCGAGATCTGTGAAAACATAGTTGATATGACCAGTGTAGACAAATATCTAAGCTCTAGCCTTCTTAGAAGTTTTTAAGTTTCCACTACATGTATATAAAATAAATACACGATTTACGGGGCTGTGCAGGTCTACTAGACTACTGGGTTTTTTTTCTTCTTTTTTTTTTGCCAAATATCTAAATTCTAGGCTTTGCGGTTTCAGATGGTTATAATTTGAACATTCTCGGTAAAATCCTTTAAGCCAAATATTTAAGCTATCCCGGATAGCTCTTGGATTTTTTTTCAGTTGCTATGGCTACACGAGCTCTGCATGGAATGGAGATTCTTTCCTCAACTTTGAAAGAGCTTCATGCCAGGAACATTCCAGCTAAGTTGAAGCAATATTCAAGCGGTATATGAAAAAAAAATGTTGTTTAAGGAAATGTTTGACGCTTATAACGACGTCCAAAAGGGTAACAAGGCTTAACTAAGCACATTGTGGGAACAATTGCAAAGGATAATACAAAGCCGCCATCATGTTAGGTTCCAAAATGACCCGAATAATACTCGCAGCGTGCTTCTTTTTGACGATTGCGCTAGGAAGATATATTTACTGCTGGGAAATAAAGATAACAACAAAAAGGAAACAAAACGAAACAACCAGGCAACAGTAAAACAAAACAAAAAAAACAACAACAAAACAAAAATAACAAGAAGAACAAACGGAACAAAAACAGCAAGATATATGGACACAGTGATAACTATCATTTATTTGTTGAATGTACAAAATTATTTTATCGGTTATGCATGCGTATCATATTGTAAGGTTTTTATCTTATCCATTTTAATATTTATCTATTTAACTATTCCTTGATACAAATCATCGTGACCTGATGTGATGAAATGATATCATTGGGTCACTGGTTAGTCGAGACACATACATGCACACTTAACTTTTGGTATTTGCTGTAACATTTAATCATGTTAAACACATTTTTTGTGTATCTGTTATATTTAATATATTGCTCCTTTAGATATTTGGAATAAATGAACTGAAACAGATATGGGAACAATTGCAAAGGATTATACAAAGCCGCCGTCATGTTAGGTTCCAAAAGGACTCGAATACTGGTCGCAGCGTGCTTCTTTTTGACGATTGCGCTAGGAAGATATATTTACTGCTGGGAATGGCATGATTCAATCCCGCCACCAGGTATCTCTCAGTAATAATTATCATTAAATCTATATATCCTAAAACATATACATTACTTATCGAATTTCAGCTATTCTTCTTCCAAAACCTTAACAGATGAATCAACATAAATATTTGATACTTGTTTTTATATCCAATTCCAAAGTGTATAAGAAATATATTGTGTTGTTTATTTTTCTAATTATTTTTTTATTATGTGTTGATACATATAACATACTATAAGTACTATTTGTATAGTACTACCATGTATATGTTGTGAATAAAATACTGTTTAAACTAAAATCTCTCAGCCTGTACAAATAATGCATTAAAAGCTTCTCCTCGCGGTTTTGCAAAGGTTGGTAACATAGCGCCAATTTCGGTTTAAAATGTATTGCTATACATGTACTGTTTCATGAACTTTAGAGGATTATATTCATGCAAATTTTAGCACCTCAGTTACGAAGAACTGAAGAACTGAAGAAAATATGCAAATCATCATACATGTATTATATATAAAAATAATTTTATATATTGAAATGCTAATAATGATGATGTAGATGACATATGTATGTCCAAGGTTCATCTAGTATAATTGATTTTCAATATCAAAGTCCATTTTTTAAAATAAAATTCAGTAGGTAGTAATAATAATAATAATACTGATGAACTCTTTATTTAAAAAGGTAGCTTATAAAGAAAATACATCAAGCACCAAAGATAATACATGTACAAATAATTATTATAAGCAATTCACAAACTATCAGAATTTGAAAAACCTTTGGTTAGCAGATTTGGTAATTTCTCATAAATTAGAATATTATAAAGAATTTAACTAAACAGAAATTACAATAAAATTTCGAATATTAAAAGAAATTACAAGCTCTGTCGAATGATAGTTTTGCTCACGGGATTAGCAAGTGGGCTTATTTTAATTATTTCAAATCATTTTTATTTGTTTGGGTCGTCAGACAAAACAAATAATGGTAGCGAAATTTCAGACCCTGATGCTGTTAATTGCAAATGCCGAAAGTAGTCCGCTTTTTTGAAGCGGTTACTTCCCTTTATATGTAAACTAACGCCGAAAAATTCAGGGGAGATCACTGCGTAAAAATGGTCAAATGACAGGCGATATCTCTAATATTGTTTTATTCTTTATAGATATACATGCTTATAGTAAGCTCCATGATTATTTACATCTGTGTTAAACAACAGTTAGCGTCGAAATGATAAGGGTTACAAACCCTAATTTAGAATAATATGGTTTTCTTCAGGCCGTTATTATATAACTTCACCGTGACCGAGGGCTTTGCGCGCTTGCTTAGGAAGCGAGAGGTCTGGAGTTCAATTCCTAGTTACGGCATCCCATTTTTTTCAAATTGTTTAAGTCAAATAAACATTGAATTGACTATCAGTGTTGCAATTAGTCTTATAGCCAATTTACTACAATTAAAACGCTGGAAAGCATTGGTGGCACTATACAAAAACAAATTGGTTTATAATCTCACAACCTTCACCTTTCTGAAATTCTGAGACCCAAACAAATTCAGCGCCTTCTGTGCTTTGATTTGTTAACATACTTATATATTACTTATTATCCATGGTTATCAGACATTTTACTACAGTATGTGTTGTAAGCACATTACTGTATTAATTTTGAAAGTAAATTTTATAAACATAACATAACATAAGTTTATTAATAAATCGTATGGGAACAGCACATTGTTTAAAAATTAAGATTTTACAAGCATGCATAAAATGTTAAGAAGATAAATACATAGCCTACATATGTGGTGAATTTGAGAGATTCGGCTTTAATATCTCTACCTTTTCATAAACAATTATGATTATGAAAATGTTAGACATGGTTAATTTGTGATTATAACATCATACTTGAATTGAATATTTTAAGTCGTTCATTTCATTATACACGTGGTCATTTAATTTGAAATGAAAATGATAGACATATTGCGAAAATCTTTGTCACCCAGGGACTTAAAAGTGAGCCAAGTATGCACAATTATATCATACATTTCTTCTGATCTGATATCTTTATCACTTAAATTTATGTAATACATTACTTTAATCTAAACTAGCGTATGTATGTGACATCACAGTCATGATAAAATTACCCTAATTTTGTTTTCATTGCTATATGAAACTATTATGACTCGTATTAGGCTAAAAAATGATATTGAACATAAACAAGATGTAAAATAGGTGCTATTTGGAAAGACAAAAAAGAACTCTTTTTTATGAAATTGACGAACAACCGTACAAAATATGAATAAAAAATAAATAACATAACCAGATCAAAATAAAGATCTATTTTAGGACCAATAACAATATTTGGGTCTACTGTTAAATGCGCATAGCTTGTTAAATATTTTTTTTCTCTAAAATTCAATAATCATGCGATTTCATATCCACTTTTATTTAGGTATTTTAATAGTAAATATATGAGAATAAACAATAAAGAATTGTATAGTTTTTAATTTTGATCCTGATCTTTACACTGATCCTTAAATATAAGTAAAAAAATGGCCCTGTTGATTAATTTTTGAATTGCTTTATTAATATTAAAAGTCCCTGAATTTTTTGAGTGAGCATGTTTTCATATGTTACAATACATAAATGTCATATGCGGTAGCCATAAGTGAAATATAGTAATTGTCATCACATGATGAAAATAAATCCTGTATTTATAGAAAATATAACTTTAATTTTCTGTTTGTAATTTACTTTTTCTATTTTTTGACCTTATGAGACTTCTCGTTTAATTTTGTGTATTGGCTGAATTAAGAAGAAAGTGGTCGGGCAAGATACCACTGAAAATAGGGAAAGTATGTAGTGAAAAATAAATTTTTAAGGTGAAAATACGGAAAAAAGAAAATACGCATTTTATTTCATCAACATTTCTCAATATTTCATTCATACGTATATAATAAATGTATTTATATAAATTATAGTTGTATTTAATCTTTTCAGATATAGGTGTCGTTTTGTGCGTCGTGATTGCATTAGTTTTGCTAGACATCTATAGGTTAAGACCAGCACAATCACATTCGTTAAAAAGTTTGGTAGCGCAGTACATATTCTTAAAATTCATTTTGGTGATAGGATATGTACTTAGGAAACGTTTTGATAAAAAATGCAAGCAATGTGAAAAGCAACAAGAAAGTATTCTTACGGAAATCTTAACACAAAATAAGGACACGATTTTCGCAAAGGATTATGACCTAGAAAATGTTGATAATGTTAAAATGTTGAAGGAAATAATGCCGCTGACAACATATGAAAATTACAGAAAATATGCTGAGATGATCAAAGAAGAAGGAACAGAAAACGTGTTGTTTCCCGGGAAAGCTTACTTTTTAGCGCTTACATCCGGTACCACATCTGGCAAAAGCAAGATGTTTCCTAAAAACCCTGCAGCTCGAATAAAAGGAGTCCTATATATTTTGTTGATGATTTATGTAATGATCTATTATACCGGGAAGTCATTTCTCAGCAAATGGTTGTACGTGAAAGTGTTACCAAAGGTTGTCAGAACCAATTCCGGAATTGAATCTGGACCAGTCTCGGCAACAACATATAAACTCAGTTTTCCGTTCTCCGCTGTACCTAATACTAGCAGAAGACAACGTATCCTGCCTGTCTACAATGGTTTCTACAACAGCATTATCCCTTTTTTCGGTAATGGAGAAAAATTGGCGAACCCTTTGTAATGATATAGAAAAGGGAGAACTTTCTAAAAGTCTTAATATTCCTCAAGATGAAAGAACTCGCTTAAATGGTATGATGAAACCCAATCCGAAACGAGCTGCTTTTTTAAGGAAAGAGTTTGGAAAAGGATTTGAGAATATTGTGGCTAGAATCTGGCCAGAATGTCCTTGCCTTGTTGCGTTAAATACTGGAGTATTTGAAACACCGGTGTGTATGCTTCATTTTTCTCATACATTTTAGAATTTCATCCGGTTTTGACAATTGATCTAATTCCGAATGTGTAGAATAAATTCTTTCTTAAGTCGACATTACAAATGTTTTTTTCTTTCTTAATCTTTCTTAAGAACAGTCATTTTATACAATTTGTCACTCAGTTTTAAAAGAAATTCCAAATTTCATTCTTTCTGATTTTGGAATTTTATCTATTTACAGATATATAATCAGTTCAATAAAAACAAACGCTTTTCTTAAGAACAGTCATTTTATACAATTTGTCACTCAGTTTTAAAAGAAATTCCAAATTTCATTCTTTCTGATTTTGGAATTTTATCTTTTTACAGAGGCACTTTTCGCACATATAAAACAAGAAAATATGCAATGCAAAATTGATAGAATCGTTTTGATTTTATATGTAATATTCACGTTCAACTTTCTCGTCAAACCTAGTACAAAGAGTTAAATATGATTTAGAACGACTTTTTTTTAACATTTTAAAATTTACATTTGTTGATTCAGGCTAAACTCGTGAAGCAAAGGTACTTGGGTAATCTTCCAGTCGCGTCGTTAATTCATTTAGGAACAGAATCTACGTTTGGTATTAATATTCATCACACGAACCAATCTCCTGAAGCACACTATACGCCTTTGATTACAAATAACTTCTTTGAGTTCATCCCTATAGCAGAATTTGGGGAGAAAACGCCTTCAACACTGCTTGCGCATCAGGTTTGGTTCAAATTTTGCTATATTTATATTTTTCACCTGGTACATGCAGATCTGAATGTTTCATGTATCAATTTATAGGTGGCAATGAAATTTAAAGAATACTATATCAACGCCCGAAAAGCCGACAACGATAAAAGGAAAGTTTAAGCTCGTTTTTGCATGCATTCCTTTCCTCGAAGTTCATGCACCTCATTTTATGAAGTGGCAGAACGATGTTACATTCCCGTTAGTATGAGCAAATATGTGGATTTCACTAAGTTCACAATAGCATCATTTTGAGTTATGAATTTTACTTTAGATGGTTCTAGAGAAGGTGTAGAGGCGTTGTTCAATAGCTTGCATTAAAAATTGATTGTAAGTCTAAATTTACCAAACCCAGCTTACCATGCTTTGAAATTTGAGTGTTTTCGGTTTCATCTAAGGTTCCAATCATTTCATTGATAAGGAAGAAAGCTGCGTGGATAATTTTGGTAACAATATTATACGAATATAAAAGTACAGAAAGAAGAAGTAATGCTAAGCAATGTATCGCTATTAAAATAACATCCATGACTAGGCGAGCGCATAGAATCCCTTTTGTTGCTTTATATTTAAGGTTGAAGTTGGACAAATGTATGAAATGGTTGTAACGACATTTGATGGCTTGTATAGATATAGAACAGAAGATGTTGTCAAGATTATAAGATTTTATGGAACGACGCCAGTATATAAGTTCATTCAAAGGTAAAAACTAACTGGAAAATGATAAAATTACGAAATAACAGTCAAAGAATTTCTGACTATATAAAAAACGTTCAGGATTATATCATATACTTGTACATGTAAATGTAAAAAAAAATATGTAGATTTTCTGTTACATAATGATGTTGTATATTTGATCATGTTTGCAAGTTTTGTTTTTGGTCATATTTAGGCTAATATTATTTATCCTAATTTGTAATTGTTTAAGCTTTGAAAATTGCAAATTCCTGCATTTTAGATTAAAAGAACAATCTGACTGTTACAATCAGAAAACCATGTAATGATTGTTATTATAACTAATCATAACCCTTTATTTCATTGACCATCATAGACAGTAATTATTATGAAATTAACCATTTGGATCCAACATGTGGATTAACTACGGGAAGCAATCATCCGCATCCAAGGCAATAAAATGTTTTTAGATGGACAATGTATCAATTTACATGTACAATGTATAACAAATATCATTATTATCAGGGCTGGTGACACGTTGTCGGCACATTTAGAAAAGCTGCCAGAGTTTCTCCTTCATGACGCCGTGTATGCCGCTGCCGCCGCGCGCAGTAATAGTATTGTAGAATTTACTAGTTGTGAGAGCGTCCATGTACAACTAGCATCAGGTATATATATGAGCCGCGTCACGACAAATTCAACATAGTGCGTTTGCGACCAGCATGGATCCAGACCAGCCTGCGCATCCGCGCAGTCTGACCGGATCCATGCTGTTCGCTTACAAACCCTATAACAAGTAAAGAAACTGATAGCGAATAGCATGGATCCTGATCAGACTGCGCGGATGCGCAGGCTGGTCTGAATCCATGCTGGTCGCAAACGCATTACGTTGGTTTTGTCGTGACACGGCTCATATTATATTTAAATCTTAGTCTGCCGACGGCAACTGCTTCTACACATGCGACCAGTGCAGACCAAGATCAGCCGATACATCAGTGCCGTCTCATCATGGTCTGCACCGTACGCTATTTAATGTGTACATATTTTCAAACTTTCCCTAAATGCTATGAATGGTACGTTTAGTATGACAAGTTCATTCTAAATATTTAGTGGGTAAAGGTCAATTACCTTAATTGCAGACTCAACTTATTAATAATCTGAATATGTACATATGCATTAAAGAAACATACTTAATATGTATATGTTTATTGCACACAGGTGAAATTTATCCATATCCTTACTAGAAATCCTCCTGTTAAAATTTTAAGATTTTGTCAGAATTGTGGTCTAATATAACGAATTAATTATACAAATTATACATACAAATAATATTCTTTTAAATAATGGTCATCCACATTTTTGTTCGTTTTCTTTCAGGGACTGATTACGCCTTAGGATATTTTGTGTTTATTGAGCTCCAGGACGCCGGCAAATTAAATGATCACGAAATAGAGTTGGTAAGTATCACCGTCCCAAAAAACAATACGAGACATTGAGTTGGTAAAACTCAACATCTGACAAATTAGACGAACACAAAATTGAGTTGGTAGCAAATTATAAGAACAAGAAGATAACCATCTGACAAATAAGGTGAACACGAAATATAATTGGTAAGAATCATAATTATAACAAATTGGAGAACATGAACGTGAGTTTAACCGTCTTATGGAATGCTGGCTTATTTGTAAAACAGTTATGATTTTTGAAACTGTGTGTCAAATGCAAGGAACTTTTCATGTCAGTGGCTTAAATGTCTGCTAACACGAAAGACGCAAATAATCTATTACTTTAAAAAAAGGGTAAAAACGTAACTATATGAGAGTTATTCTTTTATTCTGAGAAATGCATAGATGTTTATAAAATTTCGACAGAACAATGCCACTGGGAGGATAATCATTCTGATGTAAACAAATGTTTTATAACATTATTTTTCTTCATATATAAGCACAGTAACTGAATATTTTAGGCATGTTTTGATGTTAGTTTGAAAGGTTTTCTAATTGATACTGGTATCAACCCTAAAGTATATGTCCGGTTAATCTGTGCGGCAGGTCTTTAATACAACTTTGGTAAATTATTGATATTACACAGAATCTTGAAGCAAAATTTAACACAATCACTTTTCGTTACATGTCTGACGTAAAACTGACAATAACGTTCTTGAATAATAATAATAATAATAATAATAATAATAATAATAATAATAATGATGAGGATGATGATGATGATGATATATTTTACAGAAGTTAACTAACGAAGATATACCATCGTAGAAAACAAATAACATATCTTAATTTAAAATGTGATCTTCTAAACAATATATAGAAACACAAAAACAAAACATCAACTATTCCATAGAGATAAGCAATTTTATCTCCAGTCGGTATGTGACAAGAACGGTAAACTGCGATCTTTTGTAAACTTTTGTTTCTAAAAAAGATTCATTAATTTCTATAATTGCATATATTATTGTTACATTATTGATAATGATTCAGGTTGATGCTGAGATTTGTGCCAGACATACAGTGTACGATGCCATGCGGAGAAACAATAAACTTAAACCAATTAAAATTGTTCACCTGAGGACAGGTGCTTTTTGTGAAATAAAAAAGTTGATGCTGTCATCAAACCCAGATGCATTTTACATGCAGTATAAGTTGCCTAGAATCATGAGAAGGGTCGACATTTTGAAGGCCATGCTGGACATGAAAGTATAAAGGAAACATTCGAAATCGATAAAAAAAAATGTTATCAGTTTTGTATTAAACGGAACATCCTAAATCACATTGGATTTTGAGCTAAATACCGGTGCTTTTTAGTGAATTTTCAGTATGACGTTATAAAAATACTTGTATATTGTATATTTTTTATTGTTTTATACTGTTGTTATTAATACAGTACTTTTGTCTGTTTGTTTGTTTTTTACTACCTATTTAACACTTCTAATTGCTATGTAGACAAAATGGAAAATGAAAAAAAAGTTTAAATATACGAAATGTGATTAAACTGTTCGGTAGGGGATACAATTAAAGTACTCGCCATTTATGTTCAACCTACGAAAACGTTACATTTTGGCGCTTTATTTCATTGAAATTCTTTGTGTTATAAGGAATTTGTGTATTATGTATCTCATCCACTCGACACAAAAAAGAAGTTTGAGCACTAACCCAAAGTCACGACTATGTTGCTGTCATTTAACACCAGTACTGCATGGTTTGTCAAACCAGGAAAAAATACAGTAACATTAAATTTATCATATGGTTGTTGATACAAGATCAAACATGATTATCATGAGTACAGATTCACTTTCAACTTGATTTATTTGCGTCCTGTGTTGATTTGAGGTTACCAAAATTATCATTTCGTTACGTTAACTACATAATAAATTAAGTTACTCACTAAACCGTGAGTAAATCAATTATTTTCTATTCTCAAATACTTCTAAACAACAAAAACAACAACAAACATTATAGGTTTAGGTCGTTGTATTTGACAGAATTATCACATATCAAGATCAATAATTTCCCTAGTCTATTGCAAAAAACATCTGCTGGAAAGAGGGCTGTCTCGAATTTCGGCGGAGTCATGATGAAATCAACTGCAAATATCTGAAACTAAGAAAAGACTGTAAAAATAAAACAGAACATAAAAAGGGTGGGTGGGACGGGAATATGTATGCTTTCTTCTGTCATTTTACGAATTGTATTCTGTCAAATACAGACCTCGAGTGACGCTTTTACACATATACTCCCTTATATACAGTACACGCACGTGAAAATCGTTCAAAATTATAAAGGAATGTGCAACAGAGTAAATCGAATTAACGTAAAATCATAAATATTTGCTATAGATATAACAGATACCATAAACTACGTATTGTTCGAAACGAAAATAATTTCATTCAATGTTATGTTAATATATAGATGTTTAACATATTAAATAAGTCAACAGAGCGTGGTATCTTTAAAAAGACGATATGCCCTAACAGAAATGTTATTACTCTAAATGGGCTAGCTGGGTAACCTACATAATTTGACACTAAACCTACATTGTACAATATCGCGAATGAAATACATGTACAAGTGGTTATAGGGTGTATGCCTGCACATTTTTCTGAGCGATTATCACACCCATGTGAGTTTAAAGCTTTTGGATGCTTATTACTTTTTTGTCATTTTGCACAATCAGAATTATTGTTCTGATTAACGGGGTAAGTTATTGGTCCAGATATACATCAAATTGTACACGAATCTCTAAAAAGATATTTCTAGTCCCATCATGTAATAAAAGCAACCTTAGTATCGTTCCTTAAAGGGCATGGTTGTAAATTTGTTCATTAAATTAGAAAACATCAAGAAACAATACACCAAATTTTATTTTATTTTCATCCTATAAAATTAATTCCCACTTACTATCTTATTTTGTCTAGATTAAGATTATGAATAAATACAGCCTTGACCTAAATATTGAGGTACTGTCTTCCATATAACATAACCGCAGACAGAATTGTGGATATACATGATTACGTTGTATAAAGTTACATTTTATTTAAAATTTTGTACGCCGCTTGAAACGAGTCATTGAGATATAAATATCATTCGTTCTATTTACAGCCAAAAAAAACAAGTTTACATTACTCTTCTACTTCAATAAGCATACGATTTAGAAATTAGGTGACTCTGACATTTAAAAAACAACATATTATAACGTTAGCGGAGACATTGTGTAATTTTCTTCTTTTCAAATGATCTTATGGTGTTTGAGCGAAAGGGGAACGATGAAAATAAAACATTGAATAATTTAACTGCAGGAAATTTTATGCGAAGTGGTATTTTTTTTTGCATTCGGAGCAAGGATGTGTGCAATTTACTAAAATATACAGTGTACGCAAATAACAGGAAAAATAGCCTAGCACTTTTAGATTAAGGCAAATTAAAGTTCCATAATACAACAGAAGGGAAGTTAAATAATTCAGATTATAATTCAACCATGGTTTTTGCAACCAGAAATAACATAATTTGTGCAGCTCTTTTTATTTTGGCAATATGTTTTGGGAGATTTTTTTGTTGTTGGAACCAAGAAGAGAAGAATTTACTGCTGGGTAAGTTATTTGTGTATTGGCTTGGTTTCAGATTTCTTTTTAAATGAAGTATATCATGATTGAATGATTTAAATACACATAACGTTTATAGTATTAAATGTGCACAAAAACTTCAAACGGAAAATTTTAATATACATGTATATACATGTATTTGTGTTTGTAAAATTTCATTTGAGTATTTGTTAATAAAAGAAAGTTCGTACATGATCAATTTTTTTGTGTGAGGCGATAAATACATTCCACTGAATTAAGATATATACTTTGCATCATGTTAATATTTTAGAGCATCTTTATATGAGATAAAAATCCAGTGTTAAAGCCAAGCCAAATTATACATTGCAAGACAATCAAACTTGAGAAAAATGTACTAACATTTTAAGAAAAGTAAACGATTAAGGATTTAAGTAAAAATTAACATAATATGGGTTATTAATGACTATTTTGCAGTATTTACACCATATTTCTTCTGCGTTACTAACGCAATAAAGAGTAGTTTTTCATATTTTGGCCTCTTTTTGCTACTTTACTTGGATTGTAATATAAGCGGCGTTTGCAATGAACAAATTAATATCTTCACAATGAAGTACATTTTCAAAATTGTAATGAAGCTTTGCATCAATCTGGAGGTATGCTGCTTTGATATATCAGCAGTAACCAATAATGTACTGTTTAACTATACAAAGTTTGACATAACGTTGAATTTATTTTCCTTACAAAGACTTTCCCATGCGTTTATCTTTACAGATTTGGTATCAGTAGCCGGAATTATGGTTGGATTAATACTCCTTGATATTTACCGTCTGAAACCAGAGCCATCTTATACATTCAAAACTTTGATATTACATTACGCTTTCCTAAAAATTACACAAATACTCGGATTTATTATGCTGAAACGATTTAATAAGCTATGCAAAAATAGCAAAGATCACCAAGAAAAAGTCTTAAAACAAATCTTAACACAAAACAAGGACACACTATTTTCAAAGGATCATGGTCTAGAAAATGTGACCTCCGTCGAATCGTTTAGAGAAAAAATGCCACTTACGACCTACGATGAATACCGGAAGTATGCAGAAATGATAAGAGAAGACGGAGCAGAAGATGTTTTGTTTCCAGGAAAAGCTTTCTTTATAGCACTTACTTCTGGTACTACTTCCGGGAAAAGCAAGGCATTTCCGAAAAACCCTAAAGCAAAATGGAAGGTGGCTCCATGGCTTTTGATAATGCACTACAAGATGATTTTCGCAACTGGAAACAATTTCCTTAGCAAATGGCTGTATGTAAAGGTTATACCGAAGGTGATCACAACTAAATCTGGACTTGAATCTGGACCTATTTCAGCTGTAACATACAAAATTAACTTCCCGTTTTCGGTCATACCAAGCGCCTTAGTGCACACTGAATATGAGTCTCTGTATATTCATTTAGCATTTAGTCTGATAGAAGATAATGTGTTATGTTTTTCAACAATGGTTTCCAGTACAGCGTTATCTATGTTTTCTATCTTGGAAAGGGACTGGGAAACTCTATGCAACGATGTAGAAAACGGAACACTTTCAGAGCATCTTAATATCCCAATATCTGAAAGGACCCGATTAAATAGTTTGATGAAAGCACGTCCAAAGAGAGCTGCATTACTGAGAAAAGAATTTGCGAAGGGGTTTCAGGATATAGTTTCAAGAATATGGCCAGCATGCCCATGTCTTCTAGCGTTAAAAACCGGCGTCTTTGAAACAGCGGTAGGTATTGGATAGGCCTAAGCCAAAACCGGTACGTCAGTTTGATAATTGTACAGTTTGTACAAGGTTCACTTCGCAAAATTTGAATACGTTATATAAATAAAATATTCTGAATTGAGATAAATGGACTTGCTGAAAAGGAAATCTACTGAGGTCCAAAAGCAAAACAGCTGCGACACTTAAAACAGAAAGATGCGCAAATATATTTAAGAAATATACTTAGAAAAAACTGAAAATCGTATTTTTGCGTTATTCTTAGCCCGATTTGAGTAAAAAAGCGTTTCAACGCTTTTCTGTTTTCGGTCATATTTACAATTAGAATTATCATTTTTGTTAAAACGGAGTGAGAGAATGATCTGAAATTTTGCATACAAGTTGTATGTCCAGATCGTCATCAATTGGAATATTTATCTCGAAAAATAAAATGTTTTCAGTCCCGTCATGTTAAAGAAAACCCTCAGTGGAGTCCCTTTAAAGAAGAGATAAATGTTTGTAATATTTTTATCATTGATATATATTCTTTGTATACTATACTTTAAAATGGATATATTTTAAGGCCAACATTGTACAGGAAAAATACCTGGGCAAGCTTCCTATTGTAAGCTTAGTTCACATTGGAACTGAAACATTTTACGGCGCGAACATTAACCCTATGGCGGAACCAGATGTTAGATATGTACCGTTGTTACCAGTAAACTTCTTCGAGTTTCTGCCTGCAGAAGAATATGGAGAGAAGACGCCTTCTACCGTTCTAGCTCACCAGGTTTGCTTTTATATTTGCTTGCAATGAAATTTACCAGTAATAGAATAAAGTCCTTTTTCTTCAATTCCGTTTATTTAGGTTTTAACTTACTGTATTCTCCCAAACTTTAAATGGCAGAACCAGTATCTAATCAAACGTATTGTTTATATTTGCAACTTAATTATCTAAGTACGAAACAAAATTTATGTATATGATACTTCAG